TAAGGAATTTTCACTTATTTATAAATGAAATGCAGCAAAGCAATTTGCGATTTTTGTCGTGACACAAAGCAATTAGATAAATCACTGCTTTATAGGAAACTCGAAAAAAGAAAATATCTCTCCAAGTAACACATTGAAGGTTATCACCCACCACATTCAAATGTCAAAAAACATATAACTTACTCGCCAAAAGTAACGTCAAGTCCTTTATTTCATGCATGGTCTATTGTCTATTGTTATCGACGTGTGTTCGGAAACGGACATACTCAGGTTTTTGAATAAAATTAAGTGAAACTGGAATGTAGACAATTGGCAACAATATGCATTTAAGGGTTAATAGGAGTGGGCGGGTATTTTGGGACATTTTGTACAGTTGTACAGTTGTACAGTTTGGGCTCTGTTTGAAGCCCTAGATATTATTATCTAGATTTACGTTATTATTATTACTATTATTATTGTTATTATTATTATTATTATTATTATTATTGTTATTATTATTATTATTATTGTTGTTGCTATTATTATTATTATTATTGTTGTTGTTGTTGTTGTTGTTGTTGTTATTATGGTCACGTTTCACACGAAACATAATGATCGTACATACCATGGACTTGGACATACGTCCGCGTATTCCTCTCATATATCCCCTCCTTCACACTGCACTCGTAAATGCCTTCGTCGTTGTAGGTCACGTTTGTGACCTTCAGTAAGGCCATATTCTCAAGGATTTTATTTTCAGTAGACCGACTATTGCTCCAGGTAGTCGTTCTGTCGTTCTGAAATATCAAATTGTTGTGTCGAATTCAACACGGACGGGTGTCGATTGGCGCGAATGGAACTTGTGTGTGAAGATAGATACTTGTCGCTGTAGAATCCACAATATATTATAGTGTTTCAAGCCACTCGGAACAACGCTACACTTCAGGTACAGAGATTCGCCCTTCCTTACGTGCAGCAATGTAGCATTGATCACTGGTTTGGGCAGAGTATACTCCTCTAAATGAAAAGATCGTTGGTTGTTAAAGGTCTGTTGAGCTTCGTGAGAAACATACGTTTACTTTTATCGCGAGGAAAATGTTGCTCTTTTTTTATCAATGATTTTTATTAATATTTCTTTCTCAAATTAATGATGTACTAATTGTATTTCTCCCGTAATTTTACTAAGATGAAAACAACAAAACGATTGTAAAATGGTTAAAACGCGTCTTCGGCATGGAAATCTTGTGAAGAATGTTTCCTATAGATAGACTGTGATACGATCATCGTTCAATTAATGTACTCACCCGTTACAATTACATTATAAGAGACCTGTTGATCGGGAGCAATGGTGCACACATACAGCCCACTTTGAAACTTGTCGACTTTGTACAGTGTGAATCCAATTTTTGGATCGAAAGTACATGGCGGGACTATCTCATTGCTACCATTCTGCACAAGGTTATTTTATTAAATGACTTCTCGCATATTAACTGTACATAACATCAATCGTGAAACCTATCTTCATACAGAATCTATTATATTTATATTTATATTTATCAATTTATATTTATCGAATAGGACATATTACATTTCTCGATTAAAAGAATGAACATATTAAATATGTCCTACTCGATATATACAGGGTGTCCCAAAATTATAGTGCAAGCGAGAAATGAGGGATTCCTGAGGTCATTTGAAGAAACTTTTTCCTTGGCGAAAATGTTCTGCGAGGCTTTGTTTACGAGTTATTAACGAAAAACGTTGACCAATGAGAGGCGGGCTCGACTAGCGCTAGGCGGCCGAGCCAACGAGCGGTTGAAGCCCGGTTCCGTTCATTGGCTCGGCTGCCTCGCGTCAGCTAATCTCGCCTCCCATTCGTCACTGCTTTTTCGTTAATATCTCGTAAACAAAGCCTCGCAGAACATTTTCGCTAAGGAAAAAGTTTCTTCAAATGACCTCGGGAACTCATCATTTCCCGTTTGTACAATAATTTTGGGATATCGTTGGAGAGAATTCGGATTAAATACAGGGTGTCCCAAAAATATCTCGCAATCCGAAAGTGGCGGGTTCCTCGGGACATTCGAAGCAACTTTTTCCTTAGCGAAAATGTTCTGCGAGGCTTTGTTTACGAGTTATTAACGAAAAAGACTGGCCAATGAGAGGCGAACTCTGATGACGCCCCGCACTCGCTCTCCAATTGGTCCATGTTCTTTTGTTAATAACTCGTAAACGAAGCCGCGGGTTGCATTTTCGCTAAGGAAAAAGTTACTTCGAATGACCTCAGGAACCCACCATTTCAAGCTACAAACATTTTGTAGCTTCATTATTTTGTTGAACAAACAAATACCTACTCGGTAGTACTTTGAAAGCTTGACTATTGCTGTCGGCGATGTTGGTCTACACGGTAGGTCGATGTTTTCTCCAATAGTTGTCGTTAAAATATGCGACTTTGCTTGTTCCACGAACCGAACTGTTTTAGCTGAAACATGATAGTTTAACTCCTAAATCTCACCGTTCTGATGTTACAAAGATCGCTGCAGATTCAGTTCAACGGACTGCACTCGTCATAGTTAGTACTTCAAGATTTGGAGAAATTTTTGCACAAACCTTTGCAATTTAATAGAAATCTCAAATACACTTACACTGAACATAGATATAAGTCCAGATGATCTCAGGGTTGAAATAATTATCTCTGGTGTTCAGAAAGGGTTTTCTCGAGCAACCATACCAGCCAGTGTCCCCAAAGACTGTACGCGCTCGATAAAACTCCTGGTGGTTGGTGCCATTTTCATCTTGGGTTTTGCTTATTTCGATGGGCGATGTGTAAGAAAACACTGAATCAGACTGTCATTAAAGCGTATGTTACAATCACTTTCAATACTTTGTATTGATAACGTTATCTTATGGTTTCATTACGTACATGCGTTCGGTTAGTGGGATAAATGAAGAAAATATCCGCTTGGACAAAGCATTCAAGCGTAAAATTACTGCCTTCTTTAATAATACGAACGTCAATTATCGCTGTTGAGTCTGAAAAGAAGTGAAAGAAAGCTTATTCGGTATAATAACTAAACGTATTCAATTGCCACAATTCATCCAGTAAATTATTGGGTTGGCAACTAAGTAATTGCCGATTTCAGTTATAGATGTCTCTCACTCCCATTTTTATGATATCCGTGAATGTTATATTATAAAATTATTATTATTATTATTATTATTATTATTATTATTATTATTATTATTATTATTATTATTATTATTATTATTATTATTATTATTATTATTATTATTATTATTATTATTATTATTATTATTATTATTATTATTATTATTATTATTATTATTATTATTATTATTATTATTATTATTATTATTATTATTATTATTATTATTATTATTATTATTATTATTATTATTATTATTATTATTATTATTATTATTATTATTATTATTATTATTATTATTATTATTATTATTATTATTATTATTATTATTATTATTATTATTATTATTATTATTATTATTATTATTATTATTATTATTATTATTATTATTATTATTATTATTATTATTATTATTATTATTATTATTATTATTATTATTATTATTATTATTATTATTATTATTATTATTATTATTATTATTATTATTATTATTATTATTATTATTATTATTATTATTATTATTATTATTATTATTATTATTATTATTATTATTATTATTATTATTATTATTATTATTATTATTATTATTATTATTATTATTATTATTATTATTATTATTATTATTATTATTATTATTATTATTATTATTATTATTATTATTATTATTATTATTATTATTATTATTATTATTATTATTATTATTATTATTATTATTATTATTATTATTATTATTATTATTATTATTATTATTATTATTATTATTATTATTATTATTATTATTATTATTATTATTATTATTATTATTATTATTATTATTATTATTATTATTATTATTATTATTATTATTATTATTATTATTATTATTATTATTATTATTATTATTATTATTATTATTATTATTATTATTATTATTATTATTATTATTATTATTATTATTATTATTATTATTATTATTATTATTATTATTATTATTATTATTATTATTATTATTATTATTATTATTATTATTATTATTATTATTATTATTATTATTATTATTATTATTATTATTATTATTATTATTATTATTATTATTATTATTATTATTATTATTATTATTATTATTATTATTATTATTATTATTATTATTATTATTATTATTATTATTATTATTATTATTATTATTATTATTATTATTATTATTATTATTATTATTATTATTATTATTATTATTATTATTATTATTATTATTATTATTATTATTATTATTATTATTATTATTATTATTATTATTATTATTATTATTATTATTATTATTATTATTATTATTATTATTATTATTATTATTATTATTATTATTATTATTATTATTATTATTATTATTATTATTATTATTATTATTATTATTATTATTATTATTATTATTATTATTATTATTATTATTATTATTATTATTATTATTATTATTATTATTATTATTATTATTATTATTATTATTATTATTATTATTATTATTATTATTATTATTATTATTATTATTATTATTATTATTATTATTATTATTATTATTATTATTATTATTATTATTATTATTATTATTATTATTATTATTATTATTATTATTATTATTATTATTATTATTATTATTATTATTATTATTATTATTATTATTATTATTATTATTATTATTATTATTATTATTATTATTATTATTATTATTATTATTATTATTATTATTATTATTATTATTATTATTATTATTATTATTATTATTATTATTATTATTATTATTATTATTATTATTATTATTATTATTATTATTATTATTATTATTATTATTATTATTATTATTATTATTATTATTATTATTATTATTATTATTATTATTATTATTATTATTATTATTATTATTATTATTATTATTATTATTATTATTATTATTATTATTATTATTATTATTATTATTATTATTATTATTATTATTATTATTATTATTATTATTATTATTATTATTATTATTATTATTATTATTATTATTATTATTATTATTATTATTATTATTATTATTATTATTATTATTATTATTATTATTATTATTATTATTATTATTATTATTATTATTATTATTATTATTATTATTATTATTATTATTATTATTATTATTATTATTATTATTATTATTATTATTATTATTATTATTATTATTATTATTATTATTATTATTATTATTATTATTATTATTATTATTATTATTATTATTATTATTATTATTATTATTATTATTATTATTATTATTATTATTATTATTATTATTATTATTATTATTATTATTATTATTATTATTATTATTATTATTATTATTATTATTATTATTATTATTATTATTATTATTATTATTATTATTATTATTATTATTATTATTATTATTATTATTATTATTATTATTATTATTATTATTATTATTATTATTATTATTATTATTATTATTATTATTATTATTATTATTATTATTATTATTATTATTATTATTATTATTATTATTATTATTATTATTATTATTATTATTATTATTATTATTATTATTATTATTATTATTATTATTATTATTATTATTATTATTATTATTATTATTATTATTATTATTATTATTATTATTATTATTATTATTATTATTATTATTATTATTATTATTATTATTATTATTATTATTATTATTATTATTATTATTATTATTATTATTATTATTATTATTATTATTATTATTATTATTATTATTATTATTATTATTATTATTATTATTATTATTATTATTATTATTATTATTATTATTATTATTATTATTATTATTATTATTATTATTATTATTATTATTATTATTATTATTATTATTATTATTATTATTATTATTATTATTATTATTATTATTATTATTATTATTATTATTATTATTATTATTATTATTATTATTATTATTATTATTATTATTATTATTATTATTATTATTATTATTATTATTATTATTATTATTATTATTATTATTATTATTATTATTATTATTATTATTATTATTATTATTATTATTATTATTATTATTATTATTATTATTATTATTATTATTATTATTATTATTATTATTATTATTATTATTATTATTATTATTATTATTATTATTATTATTATTATTATTATTATTATTATTATTATTATTATTATTATTATTATTATTATTATTATTATTATTATTATTATTATTATTATTATTATTATTATTATTATTATTATTATTATTATTATTATTATTATTATTATTATTATTATTATTATTATTATTATTATTATTATTATTATTATTATTATTATTATTATTATTATTATTATTATTATTATTATTATTATTATTATTATTATTATTATTATTATTATTATTATTATTATTATTATTATTATTATTATTATTATTATTATTATTATTATTATTATTATTATTATTATTATTATTATTATTATTATTATTATTATTATTATTATTATTATTATTATTATTATTATTATTATTATTATTATTATTATTATTATTATTATTATTATTATTATTATTATTATTATTATTATTATTATTATTATTATTATTATTATTATTATTATTATTATTATTATTATTATTATTATTATTATTATTATTATTATTATTATTATTATTATTATTATTATTATTATTATTATTATTATTATTATTATTATTATTATTATTATTATTATTATTATTATTATTATTATTATTATTATTATTATTATTATTATTATTATTATTATTATTATTATTATTATTATTATTATTATTATTATTATTATTATTATTATTATTATTATTATTATTATTATTATTATTATTATTATTATTATTATTATTATTATTATTATTATTATTATTATTATTATTATTATTATTATTATTATTATTATTATTATTATTATTATTATTATTATTATTATTATTATTATTATTATTATTATTATTATTATTATTATTATTATTATTATTATTATTATTATTATTATTATTATTATTATTATTATTATTATTATTATTATTATTATTATTATTATTATTATTATTATTATTATTATTATTATTATTATTATTATTATTATTATTATTATTATTATTATTATTATTATTATTATTATTATTATTATTATTATTATTATTATTATTATTATTATTATTATTATTATTATTATTATTATTATTATTATTATTATTATTATTATTATTATTATTATTATTATTATTATTATTATTATTATTATTATTATTATTATTATTATTATTATTATTATTATTATTATTATTATTATTATTATTATTATTATTATTATTATTATTATTATTATTATTATTATTATTATTATTATTATTATTATTATTATTATTATTATTATTATTATTATTATTATTATTATTATTATTATTATTATTATTATTATTATTATTATTATTATTATTATTATTATTATTATTATTATTATTATTATTATTATTATTATTATTATTATTATTATTATTATTATTATTATTATTATTATTATTATTATTATTATTATTATTATTATTATTATTATTATTATTATTATTATTATTATTATTATTATTATTATTATTATTATTATTATTATTATTATTATTATTATTATTATTATTATTATTATTATTATTATTATTATTATTATTATTATTATTATTATTATTATTATTATTATTATTATTATTATTATTATTATTATTATTATTATTATTATTATTATTATTATTATTATTATTATTATTATTATTATTATTATTATTATTATTATTATTATTATTATTATTATTATTATTATTATTAT